CAATCAGAGCGGCGCGCCTCTGTGACGTCATATGAGGAATAGCTTTGAGAGCCGATGCAGAATTCATCTACATTTTAGGGGGTAAATTATCGTGTTTACAGGCTTGTATAAACCTGAAATCGTGACAATTGTTGTGGAAAATGAAAGCTATATGTTCTCACAATCTACTGTCATTTAATTTTGTCTCCTGCTTTGCCTAGTTTCCGAGTTACAACTTGTTTTCATAGACGATTCTGTCAAAATCGATTTGTGTCGTTAGGCCCTATTTGTATAATGACTGATCCAAATTGATCCTATTTCTGTGTTGTTTTACCTCGATATTTAATCATGTCATGTAAAAATCTGTTTGTATTCTCAAAACAGTGTCGGCCCATAAGTTTTCACATGCAATACAGCAATTAATACTCCCTCGTTGTAACCCGTGTTAGGTGGCATAAACCTACACATGTTATTTGTCATCATTCACTTGATGGTCAGTTAATAAATTTATAACAGGTATAATTAGTGGTAACACACTTAGATTACCCGACAAAGGTTCCCATTTGGCATTTCTTGTGTCTGGAGTAAATATTCAACATTATAAACATCGATCAAAGGATTAACCGATAACACGCTGATTGATTAATTACTTTTATCTTACACAGCGGAATTGTCAAAAGGTAGTGTTTATGTATGTAGATTTACTAATCTATACTGAATACACTCTGTCGTGTCGGTGTCTGCGTAAAAACAACGTCCTTCTTTCAAAGGATTAACCGGCAATACATTGATTGATTGCCCATTATTATTCTAACTAAATTACTGTTTTAAAGAAAAAGCGGACATTATGCAATTAGTTGCCAGGTGTGCTATCTTGGGTGACCAATGAGACTATACACCAATACCTGAAAAGATTTATCACTTTTTCGTATATTAAACTGTTAAAAGACACATCATTTGGAACAGTTTTGTGGATATTGATGGATACATTCCTCGAACAAGGTGATGGCCTGATATTGTTCCTATAACTTTAATCTGTTTTAATTTTAATATTTGCATTTTGTTTTTATTCATTTGTCGTAGCATTCAACAGAATCATTGTTTTCGCCGTGAAGTGTAATGAGACAGACAACATGCACTAGGGTGTGTGTGTGCGAATTATGATTCACATTGGCTAACTATAAAATGTCTAGATATTACAGTTCTGTTATAAATTCACTATAAGTATCAGCAGATCGTCTGCTTTTTATTTAGTTTCAAAATGCATACAAGTGTGATAATAAACTAATTAGGATTATAAGACCAAATATAAAGACGCACAGTGACTAGTATCTACATACTGGTGAGTGGACATTAACCATGGGAATGTAGCAAGAAATTTATCGCGCAGTATTGTGACTTCGACCCCACCTCGCTTCCGTGGAAGAAATCGTTATGTTATAAGTTGTGTCATGCAAAATCCGTTTGGTTATGATTCCAATACATATTTAACAACGAGTAGAAAGTAGTCTTGATTTTCTAACTTGATGAAAACAAACTATAATCTCATTAATTCTAACAGATTTTTTATTTTTAAAATGGCGGCGCCCCCTATCGGGAACATCCGCCAGTCTGAGGATAAATGGTATTTAGGTTTGTTTTCACCGAGTTATAAAATCAAAACTACTTTCTACTGGTAGTAAAATATGTATTTTATTGATGGCCAATAGGATTTTGCATGACATAGCGTATATCATAACAATTTCTCTCGTGGCAGCGAGGTGGGTGTCAATATAATACTACTTACAATATTATTGTTACTTCGACCACAACCTCACTTCCGAGGAAGAAATCGTTATGTTACAAGTTGTGTCATAGAAAATCTTTATGGTCATCAATCATATGCATATTTTACTACAACTAGTAAGTAGTTTTGATTCTTTAACTTCCGTGAAGCGATCTGAACACAAGTAAGATATCGTTTCAGGCTTCCACAACGCTCGCTTCGCACTCACAAACATAACCCATTTAGCACGAACTGCGGGGTCCTGTGGAAATCTGTGCATGGAGACACCATCGCCCGACCCCTAGGAGCAATTGACAACAAAGCAACGATTCGGCATGTCGTCGTTGATGTCGAGAAATCATCAAAATGATGAGCGTGCTACACATTTTCTATACAACTAACTGAAAATCGTTCCTCATATGACGTCACTGCAGTGCTCTGGCGACAGAGTTACGTAACCTGTCTGTGGTTTCGTTGGCGGGCGGGAGGGAAGCAGGCGACTTTTGGGCCACTTTTAATCGCTCGGTATTAATTAACCACAAGTTTTTAAAGAATAAGTTTGGTGTTCCGCATAAGACTAACCACAAATCTTTCATATGTAATGGTTAAAAGAGTAACAAAAAACAAAGTTTAGTGGTTCTTTAATGCAATCACCTGAGAGAAGTACAGAACAAGTAAAATTCTTCAACACTAATACAAACTTATACGAGACGAATGGATACATTCCTCGAACAAGGTAATAACCTGACATTGTTGCAGACTTTAGTCGGTTTTATTTCTAATATTTGCATTTTGTTTTTATTCATTTGTGGTAGCATTCAACAGAATCATTTGTTTTCGCCGTAATGAGACAGACAACATACACTAGGTCATACCTAGGGTGTGTGTGAAATATGATTCTTGTTGGCATTCTATAAAATGTCTAGATATTACAGTCATGTTATAAATACGCTATAAGTATAATCGTATGCTTTTTATTAAGTTTCAAAATGCATGCCAAATATGGCAATATAATAATTAGGATTATAAGACAAAATATATAGACATACATTGACTTCGTTTTTTTTCAGTCCTGACATTTTTTACCACTGGCAGATGATTAAAGTGTTTTCATTTCATTTTCAAAATGATGGAAATATTATCGAGTAAAAATGATTTTATTTTTGTTGATCAATCTACACCTATACGATCAATTGCGCATGCGGGTTGCGCAGCAAAGGTCACGAACCAATCGAAAGTACTGGGATATCATCCGGGTACTCAGGGGAGAAAAGCAATAACAAAAGCAACAACCAGTGCGCGGAAATTGCTCTGGATCAGTGCCTTGTTAAATGTGTTTACCATATGATTGTTTTGATCATGTTTTACACGGTCGGCTTCAGTGTGCGATGTGTTCACTTCCATCAACCACCAGCTTGTAATAACATCGTCACATGAGATTGTGCCATGCTAAAATAACACCCAAACTTTAAAGCGTACCCTTGTCAATGTCCTGAGCCTTATAAGAATCGAAAGGTCGGCTTCCTGAGTCGACATCTCAAACTATGGTATGTAAGTGGTAATAATTCCCGAGCATTAGAGAACAGATTGGCTTGTTTGGAATTTAATGCTTTTCATAAACTAGAATCTCATAAACTATTTGTCTCTGGAATCATCTGTGATATGAACTTGTGTAGTGGTTTCTCTAGAAATTATTTAACGTTATCTAAAATTAAACATTTAGTCACCTTTTATTTGAAATGACCAAATTAATTAGGTACACTATGAAGTTTTTAAGAAGGGATTCATTTGGGTTCTTTTTGCCCCAGTCCGCCTGTGTGTGGACAATATAACCAATTATCTATTATTAAGTTCATGATATTTCGTGAATACACCAACTGCATAACACCGTCTCTGACCACAAACCCAAACGGGTTGCTCTCTATTCGCTCACAGTCTTAAAACAACATTTCATGGTCTGTTGACTGTTGATTTCGCAATTATAAACCACCTAAACGGTCCATCCCTTGTGTCAGGTGTTAATTAGAGAGTACCATTAAAGAATGTATTCTACTACAATAAGCCTATTATTCCCTGGCAAGGGTTCACTTTTATGACATGTAATAAACCATGGCCAGTCAGTCAGTGGGTCCGGTAAACTTCAATGATGTAACGTAGGTCTATGTAATTTGTGTTTATGCAAACCGTGACAGGTCAAAAACTATTTGCGCTTTTGTGGATAATAAGTAAACCATACACTTAAAACTGTATTTTGGAAAATGCTAGCCATATCAGGGCAAATATGACAGTTAATGCCAATTTTGACACCTAGAACAACAAGGATGCAGACGAGAGAAGTTATACCAGGAATAATCTACAACGTCTTATAGTCTCCCTGGTTATAGTTGATCGCATAGGAGGACGAATACACTCCTAGGAGGACGAATACACAGTCTATACACTCACGGGGATCCTTGGGAAAAGGAGAAACTGAAAGAAGTAGTGGTAAAATCCTTCCTAAATTTCCAAAGATTTCCAAGCTTTGGAAATATCATCTTTCCAATTTTGGAAATTTTTGGAAATATCATCTTTCCAAATTGGAAATTTTTGGAAATCACCATTTTTTTTCTTGTGGACTAAGCGTGATTGGTTTAGCTGAATCTGTTCAGTCGTTAGAAAGCGAACTTGCAAATTAGGTTAGGGAAACAGCAAACGGAAGTAACTCTGTCGTATCAATGACATTGTCATAGGATATTCATATAGCGCACATATCCACGCAACAAGTGCATGCACAAGGCGCTGATATTTTTTCCCCTCGATCACTGGATGTCAATCTCAACTGAACATCGTGTTATCAATCTCAGCTCCCCGGTGATCATACAACTGTTGCAGGCGCACCGAGTTATTGCGGCTTTCCCATCCTTGCGAGGTACCCATCCACAGCTTGGTGGACTGGCACACATAGTCACAGTACTTTGTCCATGTTCACTGCACGTTGCTGTACCTGCAACTGGGTGTTTGCACGTATTCACGTGACCACCATCTGGTCATATACCAACGGATTCGTGGGTTCTTTTAAGTGCATAGGTTTGTGTACTGTACACTAGGGGTTGCGACAAGAATGAAAGAGTCTAACTCCAAGGTTTTTAAACCCAGTCACAGGTGGGCTCGATCCGGACACCTCAAGCTCGCTGGATCACTAGTCTGGCGCCTTAGCCAGCTCGCTCACCATGCCCATGACATCTATAACATATGTAACATAAACAAAACTACCCACCTGTGTCACACCTTTCTGTTTGAAAGCCTGGCAGACAGACTCCACTTGGACAGACGCCGCTGACGTAGTCACACACATCGCCGTCGCAGTGGCAGTAGTTGTCACAGTCAGCACCGAAAGTACCAGGGCCACATACTGTTAAAGGCATGGCGTGATTAGCTTATTGAAGGCACGAGTGCCTATTGTAAAAGGTATTCAAGCATACACGCATTGCCGCAACCATATGGTGTGTGTGTGTGTGTGTGTGTGTGTGTCTGTCTGTCTGTCTGTCTGTCTGTCTGTCTGTCTCTGTCTGTCTGTCTCTCTGTGTGTGTGTGTGTGTGTGTGTGTGTGTGTGTGTGTGTGTGTGTGTGTGTGTGTGTGTGTGTGTGTGTGTGTGTGTGTGTGTGTGTGTGTTGTGTCCGGGTGTTTAACAAAACCATCAAACTAACATATTTGACAACAATGATGCAGAGAAAGCTTTTGGCAGTTTCGTTTCAATTTTGTGTTTACCTGCCCGTTTACATGAAGAATCTAATGACTTTAAATTAAAATTTAACATTTCAGTCCTACCATTAATCTCCACTTCACAGAAATCCAGGACAGGTACGATGACGTTGTTGATTTCGTTGTTTACAGTGGTGGTGTACAGAACTAGATAGCGCCCTCTACCAGAACACGTGGCAGTCAAAACATCAGGTATGTCTGTCCCGTTGATGTTACCTATCACGTTGTAGCAGTTGACTCCATCAGTTGGGGAGAACACAGTGTCAGCTATGTAGATCTTGATACCGTTCCGCCGGACCTTATCTGCAATATGTGCAACCATGGTCCCTAGTATGGTGATCTACCTTCAGTTGTTGGTAATCCATAGCCTGTTTTATATTGTATTGTTCTCTTTAAAATATCTTTTTATGATAACATGTTAGTTTTACTTTGATATCTGTGATACTCCGGTAGTTTTACAGTTCTTTGTAAACAGGCTTTTCATTTCTAATTTGATTGTTCTGTAATACAATAATTAATTGTTCTCGTCACGATATGGCTTAAATATTGCCAATGTGACGATAAATATTCACTCACTCACTAACTCACTATTATGTGCAAATCAATTCACAATAAAATAGAAATGTCAACAAGGTTCTGTTTAATTGTATCATTCCTGGAATATATAACATTCAATCTACCTTATCACCATGGTTTTTAGTTGTTGGTGACTTATAGCCCGCTTTTTTTTTTCTTTTTTTTTTGTGTGTTTTTTTATGGGGCGGTGGGGTAGCCTTGTGGTTAAAGCGTTGGCTCGTCACGCTGAAGACCATGGTTCGAATCCCCACATGGGTACAATGTGTGAAGCCCATTTCTGGTGTTCCCCCGCCGTGATGTAGCTGGAATATTGCTAAAAGCGGCGTAAAACCAACCTCAGTCAGTCAGTCAGTTGTTTTTTTTATATTTTATTGCCTTGTATTGTAATAAATGTTTTAATGCTTACAAGCTAGTTTTAAATTTCTGTCTGTGATAACCTAGCTGTTTTACTGTCCTTTGTTGACAGATTTTACGAACTAACTATATCTATTTTTAAAGTATATATTGTTATAGTGACGATATGGCAACAATATTGCTGATGTGACTCCAAATCTTAACTTTCTTACTCACTCACTCTACCTTATTTGAAACGTAACCAATTTTCATGATTTTTTCTAAAATGATTCTCCTCTTCTGCCTGAAGCGGTGTTGTCATTCGTCGCCAAATGTAATATGCTCGACGGGTATTAAATCAAATGGTGGGTTGGCCAACATGATTATGTTTCATAAAGAGTGAGTTTCTTTAATATAAGTCAGCCATATTGTGAATTGATCAAGTTATAAATATTTCCAAAACACACCACCAGCTATTGTAGTATACCTGAGTGGGTTTGGTTTTACTCCACTTTTAGCAATATTCCAGCGATACCACGGCGGGGAACACATGAAATAAGCTTCCATGAGGGGAATCGAACCCGTGTCTTCGACATGACGAGCAAACGCTTTCACCACGAGACTGTCCTACCGCTCCATCAGCTATTGCAAATGCAAGGGCTACAAAATAGGATTTGTCACTGAGCCAGATGTGTATCTGACAGACACTGAGGGAGCGACAAGAGTCATGTTCATCCACATTGTCAAACCCTTCACAAATATTCCTAGTATTGATCAAAAAGTGTTTAAACAGCCAGACGTAGTTGTTCAAAGTGCATCTACCATTGTTCATAATCCACGTTAACTGCAATATCAAATGTACTGAGTTAAAACGTTATATAGGTTGTTAATAACATTTCAGACAGACACATTAGAGCTCTTTTGTTATTAATGTGAGTGAGTGAGTTAGTGAGTGAATGAATGAGAGAGTGCATTGTGCAGTTTATATAATAAACTAACGGCCAACATTAACGCGGGATCATACCATTCGCAATAATATCAGCGATTATGACAGGTGTTTACTAGAAATGAAAATATAGACCACAGTGTTTTCTACTCACAATCTTTCCTGAAGTATATGCTGACGTAATGTATTGACGTTGTCTGTCCAAGATCCACTATCCACCAGGCGGCCCTAATGGCAGCATCATGGAATTGTGTATGCATACATGTTGTAGTGTCGCTATATCCGGTTTTCACCCCGTTCACCGCATTGCTTGGTTGGAAGTAGATGCTACTAGCTGCAGCTGGTTTGCGAAGTGCAACATTATCTGTCAAAAGATACACCTGAATTAGTTCACGAGTGACAACAGCATTTGTATTTTGATCGTCCATTGTCTAAATATGAAGGACCTACTCTGTACATGCTCGTGTTGGTATCCACTGAGATCCGAAGCACATCAGATCATTGTCAATGTAATTTGATCGTGCATTTTCTGAAAATGAAGGACCTACTCGTAGATGCTCGTTTGGGTATCTACTGAGATCCAAAGCACATCAGATCGCATCATCAACACGTAGGAAAGTAAACCAACACGCTGAAGGAAGGTCATCTTTCATCTATTTTAAACGTAGATATTGGCTATTAGCTTCCTTGATGCATGCATAGTCGAGTTTGTATACTTTCAATAACAACCGAAAACAGGAAAACACAGACAATTTTCAGTATACCCGTGAAGATCCGGGTTAGAAATGGTCTGGTCCAGACTCGATTACAGACCGCCGCCATATAGTTAGAATATTGCTGAGTGTGATTAAACAACAAACAAACAATTTTCAGTGATACTAATAGTATGCCAACATAAGCAGTTTGTTTAAAGTGATCTCACCTAGTTAGCTGACTTGCAGATAAATCTAATGTATCATCAAAACAGTCCGTCCCAAGGAAAGCCATTTTCGATCGACCGACCAAACGAACACCATCCTGTTTTCACGTACGTCGATATATCGTGTTTAAAACCTTTTAGAACTCACAGAACGAATCGTAAAATACCCCAAAAATTAAAAAACACACACATGGATTCTATTTCCTTATAACATTTCTTAGAAATATTAAACGTGATTTAACATTCTAAACTGCACAGATCTGTGATTTAACATATATTTCCATTTTGATGTTAGGTAGATGAACTGAAGCATATGTCGGGTCTTCATGTTGTTGATGTACAGTCACAGCCATGTCAGTATACCCATTGGACAAATATGAACGGGACAAATATACCGTCCTTACTCTTCTGGCATGTTCTTCCCGACCATCCAGGGTTGCAGGTCTGCGGTAGGCATCCAACTGTAGAATAACACACTGTGTGATGACAGTTACATGTGTAAGCACAATTGTTGCCGTATTTCCCTGCCGGGCAGCGGGCTGTAACAGAAGTATGATATGTTAGCAGACAATTTTATCAAGAAATCAACGGAAATGGATATGGCAGAAACTTTGTCAGAAACACTGGTGGTCGAATGTTCCTTGAAGACAAATTCCTGAAAACATGTCAAAACGAGATATCGGTATTTTCAGCTACATGTATCAGGGTACTTGTTCATAACTAAGAAAAACGTATTACCTCAATGATAGACAGTGACACTAGTAGTTGTATGTACCACCAGAACATTGTCGTATATGGTCGGTTTATGAATCACCATCAAATAGCGATGCCAACATGGTATTCACAAACCGTCAGCGTATCCTTTCACATCACACCATTGGCAAGTCAACATAAGCTACAAAATAGTCAAAAGTGGAGTTCCCCCATATACCTCAAACTTTTCTGAGGCCATGACTACGATGTTGTAACCCTGATCTAACTTGTAACCCTGACGCAGTTTGAAACCTCAGTAAAAACAGTTCGTTCACAAGCTGTGAAATGTAGCCACACGCTACTTCGGCGTATGGAATGCTTCTCACCATGGAGGTTCTTATTGGGTAGCTGAATATCCTTCTTGTCATACAGTCTAGTTTATATGTCCTGTCAATTTGAATAAGCGTAAATCTAAAGATGACACAGATGAGGTGGTTTAACTGGTTTCACATAACCCATCTGACAGAAACTGGCTAGTTGGCCATGACTATACGATAACAGATCATTGATATACCTGACACTTAAGTTAAACGTCTTTGCGAAATTCACTAGTTTTGATTAAGCCAATACGAATAGGAATGACAATTCACTTGCATCAGCACACTATACTCCCCATCAAAAGTTTAGACTCACTAGTGTAAATGTAGCCACTTACTTTAGTCAACTAGATTTTGCAAAATTTTCCATACTGTTTAAAGGTACTGTTTACACATGAACTGATGTATTGTAAAACAAATTCGTAACGTTGAAAAGATTATTATCATGGGTTAAAAATACGATGAAACTGAGTGAAAATTGACGAATTTTTAACAAAATTTTACACCACAACGCAGCTGTTCACATGCACGATATTTGCACATGCTTTTTAGCAATTTAATGCATGATCCTCGTGCAATTCATCTGCATAAAGTTTGCAGTTGGTTCTCCAAAGTTATTGGAAACATTCATCTTCGATGTAACCACACATATATGCATAACATATAGTGAGTGCTTTAAGTGAGTCTAAACTTTGATGGGTAGTATATATTAGTAAGGAGGGGAGCACTGTTGGCGTTTACTTTGTGCCTTGATGTACACACACACGCACGCACACACACACACGCGCACACACGCGCACACACACACACACACACATACGATGGGGGATGTGTTTCCTGATCATGAAGCTTCTGTATGCTATGCTGCTTGAAGCACATTGCACCGTTCATTCTGTTGGATAATGCCTGGCCGTTGCGAGACGTCGAAATGTACCGCCACTGGGACTTGAAGTCAACTTGACCTAAATTCAGTTGCACAAATAATGACCTTTTTACGCCTCGTGCATGTTTGTAAGAATAGATTAATTCTAAGTATTTTGTGCATAAAACGTGCCTGAACAAAGGAATGAACGAAAAAAACTGAGCGATTGGTTGAGTTCACGCGAATTAATTCGCTTGATAATTCGCATTGGCCTTCAACCCCACGAGGAGCTTGGGTATAGCAATAAACATTTAAAAAAAAAAACACCGACCTTATTCATCATTTCTTTAAGTTGCATTTAAAAGCTGGTATGATGAAGAGGAACACTTGTTATGGATAGACAACTTCTTTGTTGCAATACATGCGATGTTTCGGTAGATCTTTTTCAATTGTATCAACTCAAATATCCTTCATGTATATATTCTCCATGTGAATAATGTTGTGTATCATTTGCTTGATAACGGTGTTAGAATCTACACCGAAACTGTTGTCACAGTTAAACAGTATATAGCAAACTGTCACGATATATGCACACTGAAGACTCCCGCAAACATATAAACACCACAGTCATACAAACATATGCACACTGGAACGATAGAATATTCGTACACTGCAAAACGTATCTTTTATAATATAACTGAAGCACTTATCCGTGATAGAGGTTTGACATAAAACATATATATCATACAGCAATGATATGAAAATTAGATAACCGGAAGTGGGACTTTTTCAAGTGAGAGCACTGTTTGATTCGAAAGCTAAATATCAGTGAAGTTACACCACACATATCATGAAAATGAGACTAACTCGTTCCTGTTAGCGTTATTGAAATAACCGCTTATCTGCAAAAGTCTGTTAAACTTTTTTTTCAATAATGTCTTTTCTCAATAATGAATGTGCCAAAAAGGAGGGTTTTTTTATTTTAGGTCACACGGCAATTGATGATATATACGTAGTATTTCTAAAATAATTTTAATACATTTATTTCTTCAAAGGGAGGGGTGGTGGGGTAGCCTAGTGGTTAAAGCGTTTGCTCGTCACGCCGAAGACCAGGTTCGATTCCCCTTATGGGTACACTCTGTGAAGTTCGTTTCTAGTGTCCCCGCCGTGATATTTCTGGAATATTGCTAAAAGCAGCGTAAAACTGTATTCATTCGCTCGCTCACTCACTCACTCTTGAAAGGGAAACCGTAATAATAAAATGATAACAGGGTCGCCGAATACCGATCTAGTAACACTCAGTTAATATTTTCCTTATTAAACATTCGGGATGAATCCTCTATTGTTTTACATTGTAGACTATTAGAACACGTATTCACCATATTCAGTCACAACATCTATATACAGTAGGCAACCTTCACACATACATTGTCCACAAGGATTTTAAAACTACCATACATTGTAGACTGACACAACGTGTACACACATCTGTCAAAAGATACACACGCCCTCACACTACAGACACAATGTACAACATATACAGTACTTTCACAGCATACTATACACACTGTAGATTGTAACACTATATATAAAATGAAAGTTAAAACAACATAAATAGTTTAGAACATTCAACATCGATAGCCGGGGTAAGCACAACATGCATACAATGTATAAATACATCTAAATGGGATGTGTGTAAATATTTTAAATAAACTCTTAAACTTCACACATTATTGGAACTGTATTTAAAATGACGCCGGGATGTGCTCACTGTCCCCCCTGCCTTTGTTTCAAGGTTTGAAGCAGTCACTCGTGGTTAAATAACTAACAATGGGTGGATTAACACGGGATTAAGTACAGCCTGTTCTGAAATTTATTGTACCACAGCATATAACATTCACACATGATACATGAAACATGATACTCACATTTACATCACCATTTCACTTATGATACCTAGTTTAAATTATAATTATAAATAACTTAACGCCTGACTATCTAACCAGTCTTGTCCCTCCTTGTGTGTCTGATTCAAACCAATACAACTTAAGAAATCGTAATAACATTCAATCTATTAATTGCAGACCAAGTAATTACGACAACTCGTTTATATCCGATGCTATTAAACTATGAAACAACTTACCCCAACATCTTACTCAATTAGAGTCCCTGTCCAGTTTTAAAAGACAACTGAGGACTATTAATCCACCTCGTATATGTTTCAATCTAAACTATGGAAGCCGTTTTGCTCAAATCGTTCATTCCCGCCTGCGACTCGGCTGCAGTGACCTCAATGCTCACAAATAGGAAAGATACAATCTGCTGCAAGGTAGAATCCCTCCGATTGAATATGCAGGTGCAGTATCACGCATTGTTGGTGTATAAGTGAAATGGAGTATAATGGTACATGTATAATAATTTGGTTTAAACATATTTTTATTCAAATTAAATTGAATAGGGATCGCTGAACAAGCTGTAAGCTTATATGAACACCTCTCCCTTACAAAAACAAATAATAATTACATAGTTTGGCTGTTAGTCATGTATATGCTGTACATAGTCCAAAAGAAGAGAGGTATGTCGACATCATAGGTTGAGAGTAATCAATCATTATCTTGAGAAAAGGGCGTCAAATCTGCCTGATTTACGATATATAAATGAACAGATTCAAGAATCTGCATATTTACAGATGCAGTTGCATGGACATTTCCGAATAATACTGAGTCCAATGTATATCCTTTTTGGTAAAAGTACATGTTATTTCGAGTTACAGTAAAAATTGGACAAGTAAAGAAAACGTGAAAACTATCCTCATTTGCTAGTCCACATGAGCATATCGGACTTTCTAAAATGTATCTTTCATATTTGTGAGCATTGAGGTCACTGCAGCCGAGTCTCACTTATTTGAAATCAGATTATACCCCACTCCTATTGAAACTATCACTTTTTGCTAAAACTGTTCTTAGTCATTTCTAAATAAATATATCTACTCATATGTTATTTTATTTTAAACGATTGTATGTTCTCTATATCATTCTGTATGATTTACGAGAATAAAATTCTGTTCTGTTCTGTTCTGCTTGCATCAGTGTGGTGTTGAAAGCTGACACACGAGAAACATGATCAATGCGAACTGGTATCCTAACCCGCAAACATAACCTTGTTGACAAATGAGACGGAAACTTCCTCGAACGGGTCGCCCTTTCCACCAGCCCGTACTTAAACTATGGTGTGATAATAATGATAGCAGGCTATTGATGATACATAGAGGAAATACGTTTAGCGTTTAGGACGCATTACGGAACCATGCAGGAAGATGAAGTATTGAACGCAGTGGCCTTTGGTGTTCAGCGATCCTTAGCCCCTTATTGTTTTGTACGGAAATTAACATGTGATAATCTAGTTGTGTTACTGTCCTTCGAATACAGGATGACGTTTAAATATTTTCTTTCGTCACGATATGGCTGAAATATTACCAATGTCAAGTATAAATCGCTCACCATGATGCATTATTACTTTACAAAATACTCTCCATATTCAAAATTAATTCTTTGCCACTTCTACGATGGATGAAAGATTACTGGAAAACAACCATGGACTCAAGTGAGTGAGTGAGTGAGTGGATGGGTGGGTGGGTGAGTGAGTGAAGGAGGTGAGTGAGTGAGTGAGTGGGTGGGTGAGTGAGTGAGTGAGTGAGTGAGTGAGTGAGTGAGTGAGTGAGTGAGTGAGTGAGTGAGTGAGTGAGTGAGTGAGTGAGTTAAAATTTTACGTCACCTCGGGAATATTTCAGCCATATAGTGACGAGAAAGGTTTTACATGCACACTTAATATAAGTTGTTAAATAATATGTCATCGAAGGATTGTAAAATAACTAGAATATCACAATTGGTGTCTGAAACTAACATGGAAATCTAAAACTATTTTATTTACGAAGACAATACCATATAAAAAAACAGGCTATAGGTCGCCAACAACCGAAGGTAGATCACCATACTAGAGACCATGGGGACTTACAGTGCCTTTGCTACCTGCATTGACCCTAGTTGGATGTACACCATCCCTTCAGCCGCTGGCGATTGTAGGAAAACTTTGGCCGAAGTTTAAAAGAACAAAACTACTACGTTTAAAAATCTGGTAAGTTTAAAGTTTGAAAGTTTTGATACTTACGTATCCTCTCAGGAGGACAATAATTATACGATACTTTAACCGCCTTTGAGGATACAGCCACTAACCATCGCAGTTGCTAGTTTATACTAGTATATGTTGAGCAATTCAAGTATGTACAGATGAAGAGTGATACACGCACACGCACACGCACACGCACACGCATACGCATACGCACGGACAGACATGCGTGCGCTCGTGTGTGTTATAGTTTTTATACTACTACGGCCTAATGCCTATTATATACTGTCAACCGTCTGAGATAACAGACCGCACGGAAACATGACTACTCCAAATGAGACGACCAGTCCTTCCTTTGTCCCATAATGCCTTGCACCAAGCAAGGAAACAACAACTACAATCTCATTGGGCAGGAAGCAACATGTGATCGAGTCACTGACCTTCCGCTGATTTCCTGTAGATAATGGAGGCGGTCACACTGACTGATGTCACATCGTATATACATCATATGTTTACCACACGTATAAACAATACCAGCTATTGAAGCATACGATGGGCTATCAAAAGGTTTGAGCCTAAAATACTTCTGATATGTGCATGATAAAAATATGTGCATGATATTGAAGAGTGGTCTATATCATTCACATATAAACGTAATACTGACATGCACATGTCGCCAGTTTCAGGTCACGTGACAACTAATCACATGTACCCCTATTGAAAAGGCAGAATCTGTTCTGTCATAGCCTTCGGTGTACATTGGAGGGGCTATCAAAAAGTTTTGAGCCTAAAATACGTCTGATATATTCATGATAAAAACATCTGATCACATGTACCTCTATGGAAACGGCAGAAATGGATAAGCTTGAGTACAGAGCAGTCATAAAGGATTTGGACCTCGAGGGCCACCCGTGAAACACATTGAAGAGCGATTGACAGCAGTACGAGTACTGATTGTAGTGACATAAACCATTCTTCAATATCATAGAGTTATTCTTATCATGTACATATCAGAAGGCTCAAACCTATTGATAGCCCCTCGTATATACACCGAAATTAGATCAGTTCCATTTTCTCACAAGAGAACCCACCCAAGTTTTTACGTTTAAATTATTCGACAGTGATTGATATTGTACAGTACAGACAAGTGGTGGGTTCCTTTGTTTGTCATATTCAAAACAAATCTGCCAACAAGCTTAACAATATTTCCTATTCTTTACTACTTCTTTGCCTATACAATGCCAAAGTCACCTTGGTAGCGTCTCTTATTCTCTTGATCTGCGGTGATATTCATCTTAACCAAGGTCCAATTAAAAATAATGAACTAAACATAATACACTTATATGTGCGTAGCCTTAAAGATAAAATTGACATACTTGAGGCAGAGTTCGGATCCTACGACGTCATATGTCTTACTGAGACATGGTTACATGATGGTATAAGTAGTAATGATATTTTAATTCCGGGTTTCCATTCACCTCTCAGAAATGATAGACAGAGCAGGGGCGGGGGTGTCGCAGTGTACGTTAAAAGTAAAATGAGTTTTGAATATATGGAGAATTTAACTTTAGCCGGGCTTGAGGCGATGTGGATAAAAGTAAGATGTAAAAAACGGAATTACCTAATAGGAACGTTCTATCGGGCAGACAAAACAGAAGCTTACTGGGATTTAATCGAAGATTCTATCAACAACGCTGTTGATCTTAATATGGACACAATTGTAGTTGTACTTTAATATTGATTTAATTGCATTGAAGTTATAAAATTAATCAATTACAACTGCTATTTGGACTAACACAACTTATAACTGAACCTACAAGGATTACACCCAGTTCTAGTACATTAATTGATCTTATTTTTGTTTCAAGTGTTAGCGCTGTACTAAAATCGGGTGTTTTAGATCCTGTATGTAGCGATCATTGCCCTGTATATGTCACCATCAATGAGTCGATTGCAAAATCGATTAATTACAAGAGAAAAATATATAATTATACTCTAGCTGATTTTGACGGTATTAAAAATGCCTCATATACTCTTGATTGGCATGCTATCTTTGCCTCTGAAAATATTAACCGAATCGCAAGCGATTTGACTGGTGCAATTCTTAAATTATGCGATAGTTATATTCCAAATAAGGTCGTTACGATAAGGCCCCGGACCCCCCTGGATGAATAGTGAGGTACGTAAATTGATTCGTAAACGCAATCGCCATCATAAAATCGCAAAAAGGCGTAACTCATCATCTGACTTGGCACTTTTTAGATTGAGTAGAAATAAAGTTATATCCGCGGTAAGAAATGCAAAGAAGATGTACATGAATAGAATTGATGAACAAATAAATAATGAACATGGTACAAAAACATGGTGGCGTTTAGTTAAGAAATATATAAAATGTAAACACACCACCAATATTAATACTTTTCCTTCGATAATCCATAACGATATACTATATGATGATAGTGTTGATATAGCAAACATTATGAATGATTTCTTTGCAGATCAGGCAAGAGTAGCTGCTCCTAATAGGGATATTCCTGAAATTCGTTTAGAGGTAGATAACCCATTATGTGACTTAACACTCAGTCCGCAAGAAATTCTCTCCTCTGTTGATATCATTAAAGCAACAGGCCCAGATGGTATTAGCAATAAATTTCTGGAAATGAATGCTGTACAATTAGCAGTTCCCTTATCTGAAGTTTTTAATCTATCATTAAAGAATACAGTGTTTCCTGATATCTGGAAGGAGGCATCAGTTGTTCCTATACACAAAAAAGGCAGTACAAATGAATGCTCTAACTATCGACCTGTCGCACTAACAAGCTGTGTAGCAAAGATTTTCGAAAAATGCATTTTTAAACATGTATTTAATCATTTTAAGGATAATGTAATGCTTACAAACTTACAATCCGGTTTCATGCCAGGCGATTCAACGGTTAATCAACTAACGTACCTGTATGACTATATAGCGGGTGCATTAGATAGCTGTAAGGAAATTAGGGCTGTATTTTGTGACGTAAGTAAGGCTTTTGACAAGGTCTGGCATAAAGGTATTATACATAAGCTAAGACGTTGTGGTATCGGGGGTAACTTGCTGAAATGGTTTGAGAGTTATCTAGACAATAGAGTTCAGCGAGTTGTTATAAATGGTTACGCGTCTGATCAAAGATCAATCTTGGTTCCCCAAGGCTCTGTCTTAGGACCATTATTGTTTATAGTTTATATCAACGACATCGTTGAAGGAATAAACAGCAATATCCGTCCCTTCGCAGATGACACATCACTTAATGCTATAATAAATGATCCTGATGAAACTGCTCTGTCTCTAAATAATGATCTACGTAAAATTTCTGATTGGGCTGACAAATGGCAAGTTACATTTAATCCTAATAAAACAGATTCTATACAATTCTCTCGTAAAGTTCAGCCCAGCCCAAAACGAAACTTAACAATGAAGGATGGTAATATTAATGACGTTAATAGCCATATACATTTGGGACTTACTTTACAGCACGATTGTTCCTGGACTGACCATGTTAACTGTATCGCTAAAAAAGGTTGCACCCATGGTAAACTGTCTTAGAGGTTTTAAATATCGTCTCTCACGTAGAACCTACAAACGATGTACAAAAAATTTATCTTACCTATTTTCGACTATTGTTGTCACATCTGGGACAATTGTACCAAACGGCAAGCACTAACACTGGAAAAACTTAATCTTGATGCACTTAGAACTATTTGCGGTGCTGTTCGCGGCACGAGTCACAACAAAATTTATGATGAGACAAATTTCCAAACACTATGTACTCGAAGATACATCCAAAAACTAACGTTTTTCTATAAGATGGTTAATAATTTAACTCCAAAATATCTGAGGGATCTCGTCCCTCCTAAGGTATCTGACACAACAAGCTACATGTTCCGAGACCGCTTGAAGCTCCAAACTATCGATAGTAAAAGTGCGAGTGGTGCTAAGTCATTTCTCCCAGATATAGTAAGATTGTGAAACGGCTACTTTTGGTAGATTTAAGAAACAGATTAATGGGTCAAATAATAATAGTAAATTACTTCAATTTGAGCTTTGGAACAAGATTCTGTCAGATTATCCATTCACGCCTCAGGCTCGGTTGCAGCGATTTAAACGCACATAAATATCAACGATTTATATCTTCAAATCCCTCTTGTTCTTGTGGCTACTGTTACGAAGATCCAATTCACTATTTCTTTTCGTGCGTTAATTACACTGACATAAGACATAAAATGCACTTCTATACTAAAGGATATGACATCAAATCAATACTATACGGCCACTCTAATGGATCTACTACAGGTAATCTTGAATTTCATTGTACTGTCCGGCAGATTTGTGTTGTAATATAAAAACGAAATTGCACTTACTATTAAGTATTTTCCGACACTAATTTTTCTAACATTAAAAGCGGCTATATTACAGTTTATGATTGTTACATTTCCAGAAATCTATTGTTTATCGTTTGTTAATATCATGTTTTTCTCCGCACGATTATTATATCTATAATTTATCTGTATTCCGGAGCGGTATTCAGATAAGCACCATACTGCTTGTTTACCAATCCGGTTCCTCTTTTGGAAATAAATATGTTTAAACCATATACACCGAAGGCTATGACAGCACCGATTGATGTATTGATGGACCACCATATAGGTCTTATCATATTATATACACAGCGTACACATCACTCCATTTATACACTGCACAGTCGGCTTCGACAGTGTTATTTAAAATATTTAACTTTGTTATTTATAAAAAATGATTGTGTTTTTTAAATTTCAATTTTTCATATATTTCACGTCAAACTTCCTCCACAAAACCAGGCTCATTTGTCAAATTTTTATACCGGAGTAAATGTATTAATTATATGCATGACTGACCCCATGACAGAAGAATTCAAATCCTTTGCTATTACTACACAACTTCTGTGCCTTGCTTAATAACGTTGTTAAACCGACACCGAAATGTTGCTTTCACTGCAATTAAGAAGTTGTTCATCCATTATTGTAATACTTCCGTATTGCGACACAATTTGTACAAACCCTCCCTCTTAATTAGTTATAATATGGTCACCTACCAGATGTAATGTCCAGCAGACAGAAAGACATCAGGACAGCCAGTCTGACGCCCTCCATAGCGAAGAGTCTGTACACCAGGAAGCTTTTTGTTGTTCCAATCTTCACGTGATTACATATATAGCTCTGTATGAACAGTGATACGACCACGGCAAAGTTCCGGGATCATATCTGTGTTGACCCCTACACACATTACAGACAGCAACCCCTACAGAAAGGCATTAGGGACCATCGGGTGACCATAGGAAACCGCCATAAACCTCTTGACCTTACCAGTATATCACACTTCAACCTGTCACAACCCCGGTCGCTGTTATTTTTGTAGCGTACGATGTGGGACCCTAGCTTATGGTTGTTCGGGACGAGGGTGAGCTGTGCTTACGTTGAACGTTGTTCTGCATTAATGTGAGACAATTTGTAGAGTGTGGAATATATGAAAGCAGATGTGCATCGCACCGAGGCGAAGTGTAGAGGGGGACATATAGAGAGAAACCAACAAAATAACACGAATAATAACAATAACAACGCGAATGTCCGTCCCTCCAACGTGTTTCAACTTCATTTTCAGAAATGAGTGAGTGAGTTTAGTTAAATATGGCGGCGGCCTGTAAATAATCGAGTCTGTTCCAGCCAATCCAGTGATCAACAGAATGAGATCGATCTATGCAATTGGGATATGATGACATGTGTCCGCAAGCCTGACCATCTGATCCCCTTAATCGCCTCTAGTCTTACGACAAGCACGGGTTACTGACGATCGACTCTAAACCTGGTCTTCACAACTGTCTTTATATGTACGTTCATACGTGTATATATGTATACATAATAATTATATACATTTACGTGTACGTGTGTACATCTTACATAGATTTTTACGTTTCACTAATAAATATAGTATACAAACTATTGAAACACGGAATACAGCGTACATCGTACGTAAAAGGATATATGAAAATAACAAGAACGTGGACATGGAAGAACGTGTTAATCCCGGTTCATGTAAAAAGTACCACCTAATAATGTAAATGTAGCAATATATTTAAGCATTTCTCCATGGTCCGGTCCATGGAATTATGGATGACATGTTTGTGTGACCACTTTTGAAAGCACACATAAGATGAAAGTGTATATATTTAGATATTTGACAACGGGAAACGAGTAGTAGAAAGAGCATTATAAATTATTTTATGATGTAATGTTCTGAAAATATAAACTCCGTATTCATAAGTCAATAGGAAAACATCCCGAAATACCCTCTCAGTGGACATTTTTAACAGTTTTCAGTGACAGATCACGAACATAAGTACGGGCAAATAATGTATAGAACATTTGTCTTTTCTGATCAGACAAAACAAATTCTCCACCGATTGACCTCATGAAGTAAAATGAATATGTTTGTCATGTCACGCTCTATAACCCTGTATATGTTTCGATTTGAACTCAAACAACAACAAACGGATAAGGAAACACCAACGCTTGGATTAAGGAAGCAGATAACGAACGATTCACGCACATTCAGGATGTATTGACCCGATTTCAGGAAACTGCCTGTCACTTTGATTCTTCGCGTACACTCTTGGGGTCATCTGATAAAGGAACGACTTTATCTCACTGGAGCTGGCTGATTGTGAATAGAGGTTCCTCATTTAAGAGACTACAGTTTTCCACAGCACGGTCGACGCTCGACTCCCAGTTCGCCCCTTCTAAGTCTCTACTTCTGCATTATAAGGCTTAAAACGTCGTAATTGCGCAGTACTTTGGAATTGCCTCACTTTAGCTGACATGCTGTATTGTAACATGAAAACTGTCCGCTCATGAACTTCACCAAGAAAAGGTCTATAATGTAATGGATACAGCGTTCTACGTACTGTAGGCTTTGGTGTATGCGTGGGTGACTTTCACGGCCAGTATGAAACTGGCATGCAGTTTCAGGTTATCCCCTTAAGTTCTCGCTTGCCAACTATCAGTCGATCGATCTCAATCTCACAGTGATTATATGGTATAATATAGCCGCGAGTAGCGATATGCAGCCCCATGAAACTTATACAGCAAAACCAATAGCTGTAGGTCCGTTTGTAACCATGTTCTTGGTAATTCCCTTTTAAACTTAAATCCATAAATCACCTATTTTATTCATGTTGAAAATAGTAACTGACCCTTCAAGTATGGAAAATGTCAAAACTAGTTACGCACAAAACGCTTTGAGATGGAATTCTCTATTTTTTAGCCTAGTTGAAAATTGTTGAGCACGTCTTGCTTGGATTGTGTGATTCGGAAACAGATGCTGGCTTCAATATCACTTCAAATGAGTGTGTTTAGTTTTACGCCGCACTCTGTCAGTATTCCTGCTATCTGGCGGCGGTCTAAATAATCGAGTCAGGACCAGACAATCCAGTCATCAACAGCATGAGCATCGATCTACGCAACTGGGAACCGAAGACATGTGTCAACCAAATAAGCGAGCCTGACCACCCGATCCCGTTAGTCGCCTCTTACGACAAGCATGGGTTAATGAGGATCAATATTCTAACCCGGATCTTCACGGGTCATCACTTCAAAGGAGAAAGTACTGTCGCCATAACTTTCGTTGTAACTTCGTTCTTAGGACTGCACGGTATTACCGGTATATCGGTATATCGCAATACTCTTTTCAAACGATACGTATTGCAATATTTGTTTCTGAGAACTGGTATTTCGGGTAAACAACATACAGTATATGAAGTTTCTGTGGTTATCCTTATGGTATAAATTACAATCTACACACATATATTCACAACAAATGTTTCCTTCGTTATTCAACGACAAAACGACATACTGTAATACTATTATTGTATAAAAAAGAAAATAGAATCCATGACCTAAGTTTGAGATTACTGTTACTAGACCAATAACACGTATGCTTAGGGACTTATAATGTAGAAAATAGGATCGACATGCACGCTTAGTGTCACTTACTGTCAAACACCCAGTATATCGCAATACGTATCGCAATACCGTAGCTGAATCGCAATTTATTGCAATACAATCAATTTGCTAATACTCAGCCCTATTCGTAATTTGATCTGTTTGCTTATGTCACATTGTTATTTTTTGAAATACATGATGCGTGCCTTTGAACACTTTTAAACGGAATGCCATGTGACTTAGCTCAATGTATTGCAAAGCATTTATCCATAACCATTGATGATGTATCCACCTGTCGAAAAAGCAGCAGTGAAATACATTGGCACTACAATCGAAATAGGCCACCATCTTGTGGCGATGTGAAATACCATGCTATGGCGTCAGTGAATGCTGAAATATATGATGTTTTACGAAGAACTTCAAGACGATATGACTGCTGAACTGCAAATTGTATAGATAACCAGTGTTTCTTGAAAGCACTAATCCATACCTAATTTAAGTTCTGAATATGTCGGGGAAAACAATACTGGTTGTGTTTGATCTGCTTTAAAAATTTCACTTACTGTCAATCACGTACGAATCATTATCGACTGCTCTTGATGAATTAGCCAAAGGTATACTGAGTCAAAAAAGAAACTTCACATTCTTTCTTCAGGGCACTATAAAAGAACAAGATGGTTAAATTGTTATTATTTCATTGCTGAGATCTGTGTGATGGACTCGATACACTGACAGTGCCATAATCAGTTCCATGAGGCTAAACAGCTGTTCCAAAACATGGGTATACAGAATGTCAAGTCACAAGAATAAAAATTCGAAATTTCTCAGTTCAATATCGTGTATGGCCGCCCCGCGCTTTCACCACTGCCAAACAGCGTCTCCTCATCGACTGCCTGATGCTTGTGAACACGTGGTTGGGGATTCTGCGCCATTGCTCTTGCAAGGCAGCGCAAAGTTCCTGTAAATTCTGAGGTTGGTTCCTAAGACCACGAAGCCTTCTCCAAAGTACATCCCAAACGTGCTCTATTGGATTAAGGTCAGGGGACCTCGATGGCCAGTCCATGACGTTGATTCCAGCGTTTTGAAGGAAATGTCGTGTCAACATCACGGTATGCGGCCGAGCATTATCATGCTGGAACTGTAGACCTGGGCCATGAGCCGCCATGAAAGGAACGAGTTCAGGGGTGAGCACCTGGTCGCAGTAAGGAGCAGCTGTGAGGTTTCCACGGATGACCAGAAGTCGGGAACGGTTATTCCCACAGAAAGCACCCCACACCATGCAACTTCCGCCCCCGAATCTGTCGACTTCCTGTACACAACATTGGGCATACCGTTCATGAAGTCGTCTCCAGACTCTATGCCTGCCGTCCGCGAATGTGAGGGTAAACCTTGAGTCATCGCTAAAGGCGATTCGATTCCAGTCTCTCTGGGTCCATCGGAGGTGACGTTGGGCCCACAGCAGACGTTGACGTTGATGAAACGGCGTCAATATTGGCCCACGATATGGACGTCGAGAATGGAGATTGACGTAGGACGATTTGACGGTCTTCTGCTCGTGACGTCACACGTGGACGACCTGACCTTGGGCGATCAGAAGTGGTGCCAGTTTGTTGTAGACGACCTCGCAAGTCATACACAGTACGACGGCTGCATCCCATTGCTCTTGCGACGTCAGTAACTGATCTTCCCGCTTGCAACATGCCAACAGCACGTTCACGTTGCACATTTGACAATCGTGGCATTTCAAGTGCCGTTAGAACTGTGGTTTAAAAGTGTTTTTATAATTCTTGAGGCCATTGCAAATACGTGCATATGAAGAAAACTTCGATGCGAAGATCACGTGATCGACTGCACGTGCAAAACCTGATTTGGCACTAACGTCATTTGCACGACGAATGGATGGGTTTGAGTGGGTTTTGCTAACGTCGAAAGATAGGGATCCCATTTCGGATACATAGATGTATCATCAGAGAAAAATTATTCATTATTTTTCAAATTACATTTTGTGAAGTTTCTTTTTTGACTCAGTATATAACGGCTTCTGAGAAAATCATTCACCATTGGGGATACCGTGCACAAAGTCAAAAAACGCGTGACAGGGGCAATAACTCTGTAACAAAGTCTAACACGGATTCCGTTTTCGAACTCCATCAAGGCATTCATGTCCTAAGTTACTTTGGTTTCCCTATATATAACGGTTTCTGACAAAATCTGTAGCCATCATATCACACAAATGGGACTCAATACATCGTGGTCGGATCCTAGTATGGTGATCTACCTTCAGTTGTTGGTGATCTATAGCCC